CCACTCCCCCTCCCTCATGAACCCTTGATACTTTATAAATTATTATTATTTTTGTCATATCTTACACTGTCCGACGTCTCCCTTCACCCACTTTTCTGTTGTCCATCCCCCAGGGAGGAGGTTATATGTAGATCCCTGTAATCGGTTCCACTTTCCACCCCTCCACCCTCCCAGTATGGCCACTCTCGCCACTGGTCCTGAGAACAGCTCCCCTCACACAACAGGTCCTCACCACCAGTTTGGTTTTTGATTCTTCCATTCACTGAGAGTTTAGGCGGCAAGAACTGTTCTAAATGTTTATTGCCTTGCCTCAGGTATCACATTCTTAAAGCAACCCAGCAAGGTGACTAGGCCATCCTCTGTTGTTAATAGCTCAAGGCCATGTCGCTGGCTTCCCATCCAGCTTGCTCTCCGCTTTCCTGGCTCTTTAGTTGCTGTGCTCAGCATTCACAAGGTCACCTACAGCTTTTTAAAGTCAAAGCTCAGAAAGACAGCTTGCTTAGTGAACAGAAGGACAAGAAAAAAGAAACGAGAAATGGAATTTTGATTCTGTTTCTATAAGGAGGAGGAAGGGTTACTTATAATTTACTTATAATTATTATCACCAGGTGGTTGCAGGTTACGCCAGTTGAGTCTCAGGAGTGCCAACCCTGTCTATTGCCAGAAAAAAAGATGCCTGTGTGCTCACCTCAGGCTTGCACGCCGTGAGTCACTGGCTCCCCTTGGGCACCCCAGAGGGCGTGGTCAGAGGAGGACACAGCTGCCATTCACCCAGCGGCCAGAGGGGGCGTTCCAGTGCGTGGGTACATTTGCAGCAGGTAAACGCTCCTGGAAACCTCTCTTCACCTCCTTAAATCCAGGTTAAATAGCGCAACACCACGTGCTGTTTGCAAACCTGGTGACTGATCCTAGAAGCGGAGCCTCACTCGGGAGCCAGCATGTCAGCAGTGGTCCTGGAGCACCGAGGCTTGGGCAGGAAACTCTCTGACTTCGGCCAGGTGAGCTATCGCGGGGCTCACCGCCTGGGGAGGGAGTTTGACCGGAGGGCAAAAGGGCCTGCAGAATGTAGATGTTCTCAAATCCCATCAGCTCTCCAAGAAGTCTGAACCCATTTGAAGATGATGGAATGTTCAGGAAGTCAGCAGATAAGACAAGCCCCCAACTGCTGTTTCCAAGCTGTCCTGTATGTCTTTCAGGGGGAAAGGGCACTGAGTTTAGGAATCAGGGATTTGACTTCTAGAGCTTCCATGAGCTAGCTCTGTCTGCGGACCAGTCATTGCCTCTCTTCGTTACCTGTTGCCTCGTCTGAAACCCAAGGAGCTGGTTCTTAATGATTTGAAGTGGGGATGGAAGTTCAACTAGATCTGATCTTTCCGGTATTTACAAAGGGCTCTCATCCAGGTAGTGGAATGGTAACATTGTGAGAAGCTGTATATTCCTTGAAAGAACGCTGGTGGTGGGATGGTTAAGTACTTGGCCACTAACCAAAAGGTTCTTAGTTGGCAGCCACCAGTGGCTCCGTGACAGTCTGCTTCCATCAAGATTACCGCCTTGGAGACTGTGTATGGCAACGACACTCTGTCCTTTATGGTTCCGGTGAGAGGAATAGACTGGAGAGTGGTGGTGACTTCGTTGTTGTTGTTGTTGTTGTTGTTGTTGTTGTTTTTATATGCGCCTTTCACCTTTGGAAAAAGTCAAGCTGGAAGATGACCAGAGGAGGGAATGAAACTAATGTGAGGGGAATTGAGCACAGATTAGCCCCATGGGATACAAAGTTATTGGAACCTGGAAGGTGAGAGAATCCCACACATGATCAAGCCTGGGCTGTATTCAGTCCTTCAGGATTTCTTGTCATTTCTCTGCATTGAAGTTTGGAGAATAATTTGGCTGATCTCTTCACCCGACACCTGGAATCACTCTCCTGGACTCAGGTTGAGATTTACAGCCCAGGTTCCTGTGATGAGCCGAGTCTGTGGTCCTGTGAAGGATTAGCGAGAACTTCTGCCGAGGAAAGGGAGCCTGGTGAGGAAGGGGCTCTTGATCTGAAAGGTACAATATCAAAAGAGACCGCCGAATTTTGGACTGACTTTCTTTTGAACATCTTGAGAGAAAGATGTCCTTTGAAAATGGTAGGCAGGTGTTGGTGGGGGTGGAGGTGGCAGTAGAATTTAGTGTCCAGAAGGAACCACACCGAAGTCTGACCTGTAAAATGGACATGGAGTGAGATGCAAAGGGACAGAATGACCTTTAAGATTCTTTCCAACGTTAACATCCTGCCCAAAATGAAACCCCATAGTCTATGCCTACTCGAAGCTCCACATCCAGATGAATGGCCTACTCTGACAGACGGCAGACCGTGGGCAGGACCCATGGTGTACTGAGGCCACATGCTATGTTAGAAGCTTCACACAGAGAACATGGTCAGCAGCCCTACAGAAGTGTGGCTCATTCCTTCATCCAACAAATATGTACTGAGCACCTGCTCTGTGCCAGGCACAACTGAGAGTTCTACCATGCAAACCACACAGTCTCGTGGAGGAGATAGATGTTAATCAAGTAAACACGTGATTTCAGGTACAGAGACATGTTGTGAGGGAAAGTGGAGCAAGGTAAGGAGATGGAAGATGAAAGGAACTTGGAAATCCCAAGTAAGCACGATGAGATCAACCGTCAAGGACAGATCTGACCCCAGTACCTGCCCTTGCTCTTTCCTCCACTGCGGCCTCCTGTAGATGCATGCTGAAATACAGTGAGGTACACTGTGTCCTTGGCAGACTGTCTTGTCTTACACAGCAGAAGTGTATTTGTGCTATCGCACATAGGAATATGTACCTCCTACCCCAGCCCGCTCCTACCCTGACCCCTCTAAAAGCACTTGAATATCAGTGCCCTGAGAATGCAATTGCCCAAACAAGTGGCTTTTAATTTTGAAAATTGCTCTTTCCCACATTTGCTAGACACCAACAAGGAGAATACACTCCTACCCTGTTTTCCCCCAAATAAGACAGTGTCTTATATTAATTTTTGCTCCCAAAGATGCGCTAGGTCTTATTTTCAGGGGAAGTCTTATTTTTCCATGAAGAAGGATATGGTACACATTTATTGTTTTATTAAAAGAGACCTTGCACTTCCTGTCTGCCTCGGCTGCACTGCGGCCAACAGTGAGCTGCACGGCCATGCCTGCTGCTACAGTCCAGAGTCTAGAGTTACGGTAGCTTCGGGGGGCCTTGTTTTCGGGGGAATGCCTTATATTTCAGTGAGAGGCAAAACTGTAGGTAGGTCTTATTTTCGGGGGATGTCTTACTTTTGGGGGAAACAGGGTATTTAAATACATTGCTCAACAATAAAAACAACACAACATTTTTTTCTTTCCTGCTTCATAGGAAAGCTATTTCTCCCTGCTGGAGTTTTTCCTGTGTAGGTTTTGAGCTTTTTGTCGCTCCCTTTTACCTATCCTAGGTCTACCTGTGTTTGTAAGTACACTCTCAGTGTCTGTGGAGAACAAATACTGTATAGCTTATTTTGGCCAATTTCTTCCATTTTCCGGAAGCAATTTGCGCAAGGTCCATGAGTGGCTGGATCAACCCAAACCTGATCAAGGCCACTCAGCCAACTTCCATGAATTTCTTTTTGTTTTAAACCCCTCAAGCTTTAAAAAAGGAGTCTCTGGGAAACTGACCCTGCTGGGTTGAGCCCACCAGACGTGTCTTGAGGGAAAAGTCCAGCAATCCACTTCTGATGAATCAGCTGCTGAAAACCCTATGGAGTGTCATTCTACTTTGTCACACATGATGTTGCTGAGAGGTGGAATGAACTCCATGGCAACTGGCTGTTGTCCTGGTAGAGTCTGTTAGTGGGTGACAGAGCAGGGGCTTTGGAATTGTTGGAACTGGATTCAAGCCCAGACACTGCCATTCATTAACTATATCCTTGGGCAAGCCATGTAATTGCTGACCCTATTTCTTCGTTTACAAAGGGGACTAAGAACTGTACCCAACCAATGAGGTTATTCTGAGGACAGAAGGAGCTATTATTACATGTAACCATTAGAATGGCAGTGCCACCAAAGTAGTCATTAGTTGTAAAAATTCCAGCTATGAATCCTTGCACTTAGTGAGTGCTCATTGAATGACAGACTCCATATGACTATAAATAATATAAGCAAGGAGCAAAATAGCATCATCTGGTAAATGTGAGTTTTCAGATACACTTGGGGAAAGGTATAATTGAAAAAGAAATAGGCCATGCTTTTCAGTGGTTCTCAACATTTACCAGGGTTCTGAATCATCTGAGATGCTTATGAAAATGTTTCTCCCAAAGATTTTCATTTGATAGGGTTGGACAGGCTCTAGGAACCCGTATTTTAACAGAGATTTCCTCGGGAATTTTGGAGTGGAGATCAAAGGAAACACTACTGAGAAAGTATATGGGGCATGTGGAGAAAGGGAGATAGATAGACATGGGCAGAATGTAGGATAGTCACAATCGTTTTGAACAATTACCTGGTTATTTGACCCAAACCAACCCTTTACATGGAAAGAACTAGAAGGCTGATTTCCCACATTAAGTCAGTTGTGTAGAATTACCTTTATGTTGGAGCTTGAGTTCTTGATTTGCCACATACGACCTGTACAACCTCAGGTCAGTCACGGTCTCTCTTGGGCCCTTGTTTGCCAACCTGTAAAAGAAGATGACTGGGTTAGAGGATATTCTAGAAGGACATTTCTAGCTCTGAGAGTCAATGATCAATTCCTTTGTGGGCATCAGAAACCGGGCAGAATGCATAGATAAAGGAGTGGTTGAAAACATCTGGACCAGCATTCCCAACCTGTGGGTCATGACCTCTTTGGGGGTCGAACGACCCTTTCTCAGGGGTCGCCTAAGACCATCAGAAAGCACATATTTCCGATGGTCTTAGGAGACACTGATCCTCTATCCGTCTCCAGGCGGGTCCTCCCACATGCAGATATGCCCACATAGGAGTACCAGCGTGAAGATAGTTACCCATGCTACACTATGCTTCAAGACAAAATTTCATTTATTTGTCATTAGAGATAAAGATTTCACAATATATAATTACATATTGTTTTTGTGATGAATCGCTATGCTTTAATTATGTTCAATTTGTAACAATGAAAATATATCGTGCATATCAGCTATTTACATGATGATTCATATCAGTAGCAAAATTACAGTTATGAAGTAGCAATGAAAATAATTTTATGGTTGGGGGTCACCACAACCTGAGGACCAGTATGAAAGGGTCGTGGCATGAGGAAGGTTGAGAACCACTGACCTAGACTAAAGAGCAGGAAGGTTTTCTAAGAACCTTAAGACCCAAGGACCTTTGAGCATGGAAGAATCCTTGAGGGACTCGGGAGAATTCTGAGTAGAAGACTGACATAAAAGAAAGGCCCTTAGGACTGATCGATGCATTCCACCCAAAGTTGGTTTTGAGTGGAGGCAATGGGGGGGGGGTGTCCCAACTCCAAAGTTATTCCTGGAGAAGATCCGATTGGACTTGGCTGTACATGCACAGAATTTAGGGAAGAGGTGACAATTTCAAGTGCGAGTGCACTCAGGCGTGAGTTTTCCACACAGGTCGTAGCTATTAAGGTACATCAGGAATATGTTGCTTTTCTTAGAGGTCAACTCCCTCACTGCCATCGATTCAATACTGACTCATAGCGACTGTCCTGTGTGTTTCTGAGACTGTAACTGTTTATGAAAGTAGAAAGCCTGGCCTTTCTCCCAAGGAGCTGCTGGTGGTTTTGAACTGCCAACGATGTGGATGGCAGCCTAGTGTTAACCACGACACCACCAGGGCTCCTCCATTAGAGGCCAAGAGGAGGAGAGAATGTTTCCAAATCAGCCAGAAACAGGGGAATTGTTTATTATTTCAGGAAACTTGAAGAGACTAAGGGCTCACTGTTCTATGGTAGCTGTGAGGTGCCATCGAGTCGGTCCCTACTCGTAGAAGCCTTAGACACAAGAGAAGGAAACGTGTAGGTCCCTCCACCACTCTCATCAGTCATTGTTCCTCAACTTGAGCGCATGGTTGCAGCCATGGTGTTGATCCATCTCTTTAAAAGAATTCCTCTCCTTCACTGCCCCTCTTACTTTACCACACACGGTGTTTTCCTCTAGGGACTGGTCTCTCCTGACAATATGTCCAAAGTATGTAAAATGAAGTCTCACCCTCCTTGCTTCCAAGGAGCACTCTGACTCTACTTCCAATTTTCACATGCATATGAGGCCATTGAAAATACCATGGCTCGGGTCCTAGTCCTCAAATTCACATCCCTGCCCATCAACGTGCTAGAGTCTTATGCAGCAGATTTACCCAGTGCCACTCATCCTCGGATCTCTTGACTGCTGGCTGAAGTTGTCAAGGATTTTGTCTTGCTTGGATCCACAATTAGTGTTCACGAATGCAGCCATCAGAGTTCTCTGGTAGGCAGAAGAAAATTAAAGACAGAGACATATCTGTGCTTCTCTCACATGGTTTAGAAAAGACAGTAGAGAGGTAGGGTCTGAAGTAGGTTGTGATTTAAATTCAATATGGGAAGAACAGACACCTGGTGTCAAATGATCTGGCTTCAGAGGTTGGCTCCATGTCTAACTATAATTTTGGAAAAGTTTCTTAACCCTTCAAAGCCTTATTGACACCGTCAATGCAAGTGGTGATGGTAGATAATAAAACCTACTCCCTAGGAATGCTAGAAAATGTCAATGAAATCAAATGCTTATGATAGTGCCTGGGACATAGCAGTCTCCTAATAAAAGACTTTAATTTTTAAAAAGAATGACATCACAATCCAAATATATTTAACAGTTCTGATTCGTTTAAGGCGCTCTGTCATCACGATTGCTGATCATTTTCGTCTTGACCCTGCACTCCCTACTTCCTGTGAGGACCTGAAGAAAGTGAAATGTTCTGAATTGAAAAATAGTTTGTCTTAAAGGTCATCAATATTCGTGGGGTGCTTATTATTCTATGCTCATGGTAGGGTCTGCTCACCAGAGCCTCTTCTCATGGAGAGATGTAGCATCCATTCTATTAATCTCATTGACTTGATCACAAGAGAGCAATGGTTCTGGATACATCCTTCCTTCCTAGTTGGAGGCACATCCTGGCTATTTGTATGCACACATAGAATTTCATATACCCTTTAAGATGTTCGCCCCATGTCTAGAAGCATGCGTGCAGGAAGTGTTAGACCCTTGACATTCCTTTCTCTTTAGTTTAAGGCATTCACCTTATGATGTGCTATTTGTATAATTTTATATATGTGTGATTCTTTTTTTCAAAAATTAGATAATCCACATCTGAGCACATGGGATTGTGCTTAAGGCTTTTCTTGGATTTTTTTTGTCAAAGACCAAGATGGCTTCCTGTGTATTAATCATATGCCAATTATTTTTATTATTTCTTTTGAGTTTCTATCTAAGACATTTTTATCTTTTTCTTTTTAAGATTGGAGGACTGTTTTGATAGGTCTCATTCTTAATCGCAGGAGCCCTGGTGATTTAGTGGCTTAGGAGTTGGACTGCTAGCCGTATATTCAGCAGTTCAAACCCACCACTAACTCTGGGGCAGAAAGGCAAGGCTGCCTGTTCTCATAAGACTCGCAGCCTTGGCAACTGAAAAGAGTAGTTCTACTGCGTCCCCCATGGTTTCTATGCATTGGAATCAATTGCATGGCAGCTATTTTTATAAAAAGGGTATTCACACTCTTTTACAGACGAGAAAACTAAAAAGGTAGGCACATTGCCCTAAGTGGCCCAGCTGGTAAGTAGACGAGAGAGGATTCCGACCCAGGTCATGGGTTCGGAAGCTAGTGTGCGTTTCCATTGTGAACACTTTCTATACTGCGTTTCTCAGCGCTTTTCTGGGTTATTTTTAGAATCAGATCATAGCACTTTAAAGGATGTTTCTGTAGTTCTCAAGTTTTGTGTGTGTATCTAACTATTAAGCCATGTTGTGAGTTTCGGTCAGGGGAAATTTTGTCTTATTCATCTTTGTAGTTTTAAAAGGCCTAATAGTGCCAGGCACTTGGTCAATGATGACTGAACAGTGTCGAATTTAATAAGATTGACTGGTGACACCGGTGAATAATTGAAGCTGCCTAACATTGAAAGTCTGACCTCGGAGGGCCAATGATCCATGGGTCACTTCTTGCCTCTCAACATTTCAGTCCTTCTTATAGAATCATTGGAGTTCCTTCTTGGTGATCTCAGTGAAAGGCATGGTCTAAGTTCTAACCACGTCCCTCTAATCCTGTAGGAAACAAGCTATATTGAAGACCACTCCACTCAAAATGAGGCCGTGTCATTAATCTTCTCTCTCAAAGAAGAAGTTGGTGCCCTGGCCAAAGTCCTGCGCTTATTTGAGGTAAGTACATTATCCATCCTTTGCTTTGGATGCTGTGTTATTTTGTAGTTAGACATCATTTTCCATCCGGGCTCTTACATCCACCAGCTGCACAATCTTATTGATCTCAATCTGTGTGAGCCTCATTTTCTTGATTGATAAAATGGTGGTACCTGCCTTGGTTACTTCAATGGGGTTTTGTGATCAGAGGATGTGCTTTGCAAAACAACAAATGATGATGCCTACTTTGCTTATGACCATCGTAGAAAGACTGGAGAAGCAATGGTCGGCGAAAGCATTAGTTCTTTCACTCACCAAAACGATATTGATTATCTTCTATGTGAAAGACTCTGGTGGTACAAACAGATAAGTCATTGCCTGCTCACCCCAAAGCCACCAGTTCCAACTTACCGAGCGGCTCCACGTGAGAGAGAGAGACAGCTGGCCAGCTGCCTTTGTAAAGATGACAGTCGAAGCCCTGTCATCTGCTTGATGACATGGGGTCCCTTTGATGAACAAGGGACCTGACAAGAGCAATCCAACCAGACTCCCTGCCACTGCGTCGAGGTCCACTCACAGCGGAGAACCGCCCCTGTGAGTGTCCAGGACTGTAACTCTTCTGGGGCAGAATGCCCTGTCTTTCTCCCGAGGAGTGGCTGGCAGTTTCCAATGGCTGACTTGTGACTCACAGTCCAATGTGTGACCAGTAGACCCCCAAGGCCCAGACGTAGAGGCATAAAAGAAGAAGCAAAACAGTTCTTTACTTCAAGAAGCTCAACGTCAAAGTGTATTCAAGAAAATAGTTCAAGTTCCTTGTGACTTTGGTAAATCCCTTATCATTAAAGGGATGCCGTGGTGAAATAAAGGTGGAAAACTTGGGTTAATATCATTTAATCTGATTTCTTTATTATGGACTTCTCAGAGCCCATGGAAGCCTAATGTAAGACATTCTAACAGGGCAGCGTAGCATGCCTTAGTTTCCAGAAGGTTTTTTGTTTTTTTTTTACATTGGATTCCTTTTCTTAGTAAGCACATCTATTCACATTTTGGAGCACAGTCTGGGAAGCGTTGGTTGAACTTTAGTCACACATCTGAACTTCACATAGCTGCAAACAAGTTTCCTAACTCAGCTTTCTCCTTAGTCCTTTGCTCATGATTTGACTGGGGCTGTTCCCCTTGGGGGACAAATTATTCCTTTTTTTCCTGTAATTTTTCAGCAACTCCTATTGGTTAGAACCAGGGTTAGTTTTTTGGTCAGAACTGTGCAAACAGAGAGCTCAGTAAGTGTTTGGCTATTGATATGGCTTGGGATATGAGCTAGGTATAATGCTAGTCCTTTTGGGAAACTATGTTGCTCTCAGTTCTCTGTGCATAAGGAAGAGGAGAGGCGTGGCTGGAGCTGAGAGTAGAGGATGCACAGTGGTTGTAAGAAGAGAAGTGTCAAAAAAAAGAAGAGACGTGTCATCTTGCGGGTCCAGTGGGACAAGCATATTCTCTGAGCAGCCATGACTCTCGTAAGGAGCAAGGCCGAGGATGGAGACATCTCTCAGTGTTAGGGCATGTATAGATATCACCTCAGTCAACCTCATTTAATAATATGCTGTTATTGCTGAGTGTTAGGTGCTATAGAATTGGTTGCGACTCACAGGAACCTTTGCACAATGGAACGAAGCACTGCCCTGTTCTGTGCCACCCTCACAATCATCGCCACGTTCAAGTCCATTGATGCAGCCACTGTGTCAGTGCATCTCGTTGAGGGTCTTAGGGGCTCTTTTTATCATTCCTCTTTCAGAGAAAGAAATGAAGGCTTTGATAGGTTACGAAATTGGCCCAAGGTTATGCAGCTAAGAAAAATCCATCCTGAATTTGTTATTTGAATTCAGACCAGAGCCACAACACAACTGACTGAGCTCAGTGAAAGATGCAGGTGTGAGGCCACTTGTTGAATAAGTGCTGAAGTTCAGTAATGTAAAATAGTTCCTTTCTAAAGCAATCTCATTCTCCACGGGCCATGGTCGCTTTTGTTTGCTGTTTAATGTCATTTGCCCTTCTCTTGGGCATGTATACAGCCTTCCATCCTTCCAGTTCCCCCTCCTCCTGTCTGCCGCTGACCCTGTAGCCATGATCATAGAGATGAAGCAGTCTGCCTCCCCTTCTCATGGGTCTAGCCACTTATCCCTTTACAGGGGACTCTAAAGTGATTGTGAAATGCATGCTGGGATGTACTTGGTACCTGAAGGGGGATGGGTGAGAGATGGCTCTTGCTGAGTCACCACCACCGAGTCAGTGATCATTAGTAATAGAGGGTGGCTATAGAACATGGGCTTCCCACCTAAGACTCACTGTGTCTAATCACTGCTCTGGAGAGAGGGACAAGGCCATGGTCCCAGGGTGCTAGGAATCTGAAAACCCAAGAGCCATGCTGGGAATGTGGGGTGGCAGCTCTAAGCTCCCAACACATACATCATTATTCCATTGAGTTTAGTAACCATGAGTACAAGAATGAAGAAAATGCTCTAAAACTGAGTGTGGTGATAATTATACAACTCCTCTTAATATGATTGAATTATTAAATTGTATGATATGTGAATTATATGCCAATAAAACAGTTGAAAGAAAAATAATGTCAAGACCATGACTGTAGAGTATGAAACTCTAACTATAGAACTCTCTGAGCCCAGGAGGCCAGCTCTGGTTTCAGACCTTCCATCAAGTCTGCTTTGAATGAATTGCTGTCTTCTCAGAAATCTTCAGTACTTTAATTATAGCATAATTTGCTTCACTAACGAGGCCAATTTCTCTTTCTTTCTTTTGTGAAAGCCTCTTCTTGCATTTTCATAATAGCAGTCTTATACAATAGTTGCCCTTTTATGATTGACTTATTTCATTCACCACAATTTTCTCCAAGTTCGTCCATGTTATGTGATGTTTTGTAGATTCATTGTTATTCTTTAATGTCTTGCTGTATTTCATTGTGTGTCTGTACCATAGTGTGTTTATCCATTCTTCCACTGATGGGCATTTAAATGTCTCCATCTCTTTTGGGGGTGTGATGCACATGGTGTGCATTTATGTGTTGAGGCTCTTATTTCTCAAAGATATATACCAAGTAGTGGGATTGCTGGATCATATGATGTTTCTATTTCCAACTTTTGTAGGAATAACCATACCATTTCTATTTCCAACTTTTGTAGGAAGAACTACAGTGGTTGAACCAGTTTTATTAAGTGTACCTATTTCTCCTCTATTCAGGAGGATAATATTTCTTATAGCTGAAGACACTGTCTTTGTCATCATTATATTTTCTTTTTTTTAAATTTGAAATACAACTTTATTCTAACAAAAAGGAATGGGAATGACAGGTAACAAACAAAACGTCACCACCACTGAATATTATGATGTGACTGTAGCAGTCTTCTATTTGAATTTCAAGAAAGAAAAACGCATTCTCAAACAGCTGGATATGTAGGTCCAAAAAAAAAAAAAGGTTTTAACTGCCACACTCACTCCGAAGCCCATTCATCTCCTTCAGCATCCCAAAGATGAGCACATTCTGCTGAGCCCTATAGTAAGAGTGGCAAAGAGGCTGCGCCACTGACATCACAGGACATCACAGGACAGTTGCCTATAAAACCAGGCTACTGATGCTGGGCTCCAGCTTCATCCTTTCACAGGTCAGCATGTTCATCCGGGAGAGCGGTTGTCTGCACAGCCTCTAAATCATGCTCACATTGTGCTGCCAAAGCTGGGTCCCTAACAACCTCTGGGGGGCAGGAGCAGGCCTGGCAACAAACTCCAAGTCAGGATCTCCAGTGAGTTTTCTAGCAAGCCAAAGGAAGGGCTTGTCAAAGTGGCAGTTACTTTTGGCAGAAATGTCATCGTACTGAAGGTTCCTCTTTTGGTGGAAGACAGTGGATTTTGCCTTAACTTTCCTGTCCTTAGTGTCCACTTTGTTGCCACAAAGCACGATGGGTATGTTCTCACATACTCGAGCCAGATCCCTATGCCAGATAGGCACATTCTTGTAAGTAACCCTTGAGGCTACATCGAACTTTATAATGGCACACTGGGCTTGAATATAATAGCCATCTCTCAGTCCTCCACATTTTTCTTGACCAGCTGCATCCCACACGTTGAATTCAATAGGTCCTCTGTTAGTATGGACCACAAGGGGATGGACCTCAACGCCTGAGGTAGCTACATACTTCTTCTCAAATTCACCAGTCAGGTGGCATTTCACAAATGTCATTTTTCCAGTACCACCATCACCTACCAGTATGAGTTTGAACTGGACTTGGGGTTCTCCTTGGGTGCCCCCCCCCACTATCATGATCCCAATTCTACCTTACAAGAGGTACAATTCTACCTCTAGACCAGAGGATGTACACTGATACAGATAGGAACTGGAAACACAGGGAATCCAGGGCGGATGATCCTTTCAGGACCAGTGGTGAAAGTGGCGATACCGGGAGGGCGGGATGGAAAGGGGGAACCGATTACAAGGATCTACATGTAACCTCCTCCCTGGGGGATGGACAACAGAGAGTGAGTGAAGGGAGACGTTGGAAAGTGTAAGATATGACAAAATAATAATTTATAAGTTATCAAGGGTTCATGAGGGAGGGGTGTGCGGGGAGGGAGGGGAAAATGAGCTGATGCCAGGGGCTTAAGTGGAGAGCAAATGTGTTGAGAATGATGAGGGCAATGAATGTACAAATGTGCTTTACACAATTGATGTATGGATGGAGTGTGATCAGAGTTGGATTAGCCCGTAATAAAATGATTTTTTAAAAAGAAGATAATCCAACCATGGTTGCAGCAGGGCATTGACAGTGAGCTGTGAGCATGGATTCAGAAGAAGATATGGAACAAGGGACATTGCTGATGGCAGGTGGATCTTGGCTGAAAGCAGAGAAGACCAGACAGATCTTTGTTGGGTTTTATTGGCTATGCCAAGGCACTCAATTGTGAAGATCAAAATCAGCCTAGAAGAAAGGGAATTCCAAAGCATGTAATTGTGCTCACGTGTGTGGGGAGCTGATACATGACAGATCAAGAGGCAGCTGTATGAACAGAACCAGCGAATATCACATGGCTTAAATTCAAAAAAGGTGTGCCTCAAGGTTGTACCCTCTCACCATGCTTACTCAATCTGCAGGCTGAGAAAATACTCAGAGAGGCTGGATAATATGAAGGAGAATGTGGAATCAGGATCAAAGGCAGCCTTATCAACGAATTGTGATATGCAGACGATACAACCATGGTTGCTGAAAGTGAAGAGGACCTGAAGCACTTGCTGATGAAGATCAAGGATTGTAGCTTTCTGTATGGATTATTCTCAATGGAAAGAAGACCAACATCCTTGCCGTTGGACCAATAGGAAACCTCATGATCAATGGAGAAAAGGTTGACGTTGCCAAAGGGTTTCATCTTGCTCGCATCCACAACCAATGGTCATGGAAGCAGCAGTCAAGCGATCAAACAAATTGCATTGAGTAAATCTGCTACGTAAGACCATTTTAAAATGTTGAAGAGCAAGGATGTAATGTTGAGAAGCAAGGTGCGCCTGACCCAAGCTCGAGTGGATTTTCAATCACCTCATATGTGCACGAAAATTGGACACTGAATAAAGAAGACCAATGAAGAGTCCATGCATTTGAACGATGGCGTGGAGGAAGAATATTGAAAGCACCACGGACTGCCCAAATCACTGACAAATCACTGTCCGTGGAACAAGTACAGCAGAACACTCCTTGGAAGCAAGAACAGCGAGAACTTGGGACCGACTGTAAGGAGAGGCCAGTCCCTGGAGCAGAACATCCTGCTCAGTAAAGTGGAGGGGCAGTGAAAAAGAGGGAGACCCTCGACAAGATGAATGGCCACAGCGGCTGCCTCAATGAGCTCACACAGGAACAAGGGTGAGGCTGGCACCTGCAGGGACAATGCTTCCTTCCATGTGCATAGGATTGCTATGGGGCAGAGCTGACTCCTTGGAGCCTAACAACAACAACAACAAGACGGATCTCTGGTGGTGCTCTGAGCTAGATAGTGGACTTCCAAGAACAAGGCTGGTGATTCAAACCCACCCGCCTTTCCAAGACTGGGGCTGTCTGCTCTGCTAAAGATGTATAGCTTCAGGGTAGGGTCCCCATGAGTCAGAATCAACTCCAGGACTGTGGGTTGGATTTTGGTTTATGATATATGTTTATATGTAAGAAGCCCTGATGGTACAGATGGTTAAGTGCTAATAGACATTCTAGCCGTTCAAATCCACCCACCAAGCCCCTTTGCAAGAGAAAGACCTGGCACCTGGCTCTCATAAATATTGGACACTAGAAAGCCTCCTGGGCAGTTCTTTTCTGTCACGTGGGGTTGCTCTGACTTGGACTTGGACTTGAGGGCACCTAGATACACACACATATGTATAACATATATACATGCATATCATTATATGTACTTCTATGTATTCCTCATCTCTATAGTGTTCAATTGAGATGGAAAAATTAGATTTAAATAGGAGAAAATGAATTATGAAGTTTGGATTGTTTTATTCACTTCTCCTACATTTATAAAAGTAGTATTATGTTTGAGCCAATGACTTTTACCCTGAGGTTATTAAATAAAATTTGATTGGATTACTCAATGAGAGACCAAACATTCTGTCCAGTGATGAGCAAGCAGCAGGTGTGGACAAGAAAAACAGAATACTTTCTGAGTGATAAGCTGTTTATGAGAAAGAAAATATTAATAAAGTGCTCCTGTGTAATTGTTTAACCTTCCTACTAGACAGCTCTTTGACATTATCTTCTTGTGAAGTTGCCCTTTAGACCCAAGTCATAGTTAATAAAAAGTAAATAGCATGTTTCCAACCTAATAAATAAACAAACCATAAGTAACTAAGTTACCACGGCAAGATGAAAATCACTCAACAGCTGTGTGTGTGTGTGTGTGTGAGAGAGAGAGAGAGAGAGAGAGAGAGAGCGAGCGATCTGGCATGTATGGCTGTGTTAGGTGCCATTGGCTCCTAGAAACCTGAAGTACAGCAGAGTGAAACGCTGCCCAGTTCTGCACCATCTCGCACATAGTAAGAGCCAAGTAGATGATTGCTACCCCGATTTCTTTGTGCCACCGTTTTAGGGGGTTGTGAACCAACCTTTAATAGACTGCCGTGGTTGGTGTGTTGCTGTGATTTGTGCTGGTTTGCAGGAAGCCATGCCACTGGTATTTTAAATTCTAGTAGGCTCTCCCAAGATGAACCAGTTTCAGAGGAGCTTCCAGACTAAGAGCAGACTATAAAGAAAGAGCAGACGGTCCACTTCCAAGGGACTGGTCACTGAAAACCTATGGATAGAAGGCCCCCCCCCAAAAAAAACAAACCCAAGATCAAAACACCCTAAAACCATTTTCCCTGGAAAAAGATATAATAGCTGGTAAAGTGGAGAGAGCAAAGAAGAAGACCACCAAGAAGGTGACTGATACATTAGTCACAACAAGGGGCTCATATATTACAGCGATTTTGAGGAGGCACGGGGCTAGGCAGTGCTTCATTCTATTGGACACAAGGTCGCTGTGAGTCAGAACTGACTTGACAGCACCGCTCAACAGCAATAACAGCATGAAACACCAGGGACTCTTAAATTCTTCCATCTATGAAAAGTAGTTGAAGGACTACGATTGTTTGCCTAGAAGATAGAAGGATAAGGTGTGGACCGTAAGGCTGTTCTTGTGTGACACTGAGCCACTATTGACCCTACATGTCAAAATCGAACTGCTGCATGCGATTTCCTAGCCCGTGATCTCTATGACAGTACAGCACACTGGTATAGCAGACTAAAAGTTGGGTGGCTAACTGCAAGGTTGACAGTTCAAACTCACTCTTTGGAAGAACTATTTTAGCCTCAGAAACTAGGGAGCAGTTAGTAGCACTGGAGCAGTTAGTAGAACAGTAGTTAGTAGAAGAGTAGGGGCAGTTAGTGGAACAGACAGAGGAGCTGTCTGAAAGGGTTGCTATGAGTTGGAATCTACTCAAGGAAGTGGGTTTAATCCTTATGGCAGCAGGTCCCAAGGTCTTTTCTAGAGTCCAGCAGCAAGTGGTTGGCAGTCTAGCACTTAACTATTGTGCCATCCGTGCTACTTGAGGGAACAAAACAGTTTCATTGAAACACTTAAAAGGCTGCCATGAAAGAAGAGTCCTACTTCTTTTCTATGCGTTCAGATGCAAAAGATCTATGAGCGGAAATTACAGGGAGGCATAGCTGACATCCCTTAAAGGCAACATCTCTACTGTAGGAGGGCAGGAAGGCATCGATTTCAAGGACTGCTCCTGTCGAAACAAGCAACAAGCAGCAGAGCAGAATCCAAGCAAAGATCATGGTAGCAACAAGCTTTCCTTAGTAGTGACAAAGGATAAACAATAAATCTAATTCTTCCAAGGTTGGCAATGGTGGGTGGTAGGAGGGGGGTGCATTCCATCTGAGGGAATCCCCTGCAAGGGTGCTAAGTACTGCTCTGGTTACCGCTGCTTACTGGCAGGACCAGAGGGCTCTTCCATTCGTCCTCTGCAGCACAGCAGTGATCTAACCAGGACAGTTAAGTAAGCCTTGCGTTGAGTCGCTAACAGTAACAGCCATGGGAACCTACCCTATGCAGCCATACCAACTCACTGCTAGGTGGTGGAAGCTTTCTTAGGTCCTCATGGCCAACAGCACATACCAAGGCATCACACAGAGCCATGCTCCTCAGAGGAGGAAAGATCACTCACCACGTGGCCGGCTTTGACATCTGCCTGAAAGTCCTTCTCTTCCTGGCATGAATGGCATTGAATTCACCATCCCATGAAGGGATAATGTTGCCTTCATTGGAATTGTGGCCTTATAGCCCTCAGCTGGGAATAGTGTCAAAGGGAACCACACAACATGAGATTTGATCTTTATAAAATATCATTGATACGATCTTTAGGAAAAGAGATATAAATATGTGGTGCTGACGTGGGCTGGGTGATGGGAAGAATGAAGCAGATATTCCAGTGAATTGGAGTCGAGTGATTAGAAAAATACCCCAATCCCTGAAACTGGGTAATCTGCAAACATGCCACTGCCCCTCCTGAGCTGTTCCAACCCTCCAGTCTGTGCAATCATTTCTTTAAACGTCTTGTGTAGCTCTATGTATTTTCAGCCTCTACTAGCTCATGCCTTGCACTGGGTACATCTGCCACACTCGTTAAATGTTGAAAACCAAAGACGTTGCTTT